CGTGTGACTGGAATACCGACAAGGTCCGCTGAGGAAAGCTCAACTTGGGGTCAACAAGTCATTCATTTGAAAGCTCTCTGAGTTAGTTAGCCACAGGCAAAAGATGAAATTTATGTCTTTACCCAGAAAGTAGAGAAGCGGTTCTCTGGATTGAATTGTTTTAAGTTTTAAAATCCTTAAAACTACAGGATTTTAAGGTATTAATATAAATATCGGAGGTTTCTGATAACCTCTTTAGCACTTTGGAATCAACTTTGCCTCTTGCTTTCAGAAGAGATGCTTCCGTTTCTGTCAGTTCTGCTGCCTGCAGGTGATAAGTGACCCCTTGGCAAACTACAGAAACACTTTATGCTTCACGTTTCAGCAGCAGGAACGATCTATTAAGGTTTTCTGTCTGCAAAAACGTAATCTCTTAGACCTGCCAGGGCATAGGTTCAGTCAACAAACATTTACTCTGCTGTATCATTTGAATGTTGGCAACTTTTGGTTTGAGACGAGAAACTGAAGTGAGGCAGTATTTTAGTTTGGATTTCTTGTGAGGGGCATCCAAATCCATCCAGAAAATATACATTTAACTGTAAGAACCTACAATACTGACGCCATCAAGGTCATTTGCATTAAAGTCAAATACACATTTGTGGTCTACATCAAGCACAAAAACAAATACATACAATGATTCCTTTCGTGCATACTGGCAACGCAACTTGAAACGAAAGAAATGTGCAGCAATTACATTTTTTTCTAAGTTGCAATACCTGAAAAGAACACATGAGGGCGGGCTTTCCCCTTTTTTTCTCCTAAATGCACGAAATTAGCAGAAGATCTGCAGCTCTTTACACCTGTCTGTTAAAAGTTTGCTTCAGCAGATATTTATCTACTTATTTGATTATGACAGTGTGCATTTATCAACAGTGATGGGATTTATGGCCGGAATTGGCACAACAGCTAAATTTGATCCAAACTAATTGCGCCAGCTTTGGGAGAACTTCAAGATGCCACGCAATACCTTCAGATCTGAAATCAAAGCAAGTTATTTGAGATTTTACATAAAGTAAGCAGCCTGGCTTCACATTGTCTCATGAATTTTAATTACTAACCAACTTGTAATGACTTAAAATGGATTTATTTTGTTTATGACAACGTCTTTACTCCTTTCTCCTTCATTATTGTAGCTGAACTCCGCTCTGATTCAGCTCCAGTTCAAAGATAGAAGCAACTTAGGTTTTAAAAATCCATTTTTCATTTCAAAGCCTCACTTGGGTCTCCATGAAAAAGCTTCACATCATTAATCAGGTATGCACCTTGTGTGCAGCTGCCTGTACATGAGTGGACTTCAGAGAGGAAGATTCAGCAGAAGGCGCATTGTCATGAATAATAGTGAGGGGATTCAGCAAAAACGATTTGATTAAAAAGGAAAATATTTGAGAAATGACAGCTCTAGATTCCTGTTTGCCTCGGTGGTAGAAAAGAAAACTCTAATCTAAGAAGAATTAAGTCTGAAGATTATTACTGAAGGTCACAGAGTAGATATGTGGCCCATAAATCTCCTTAAAACTACAGGATTTACCCTGGTGCAGGTCCACTTCCTGTCAGTGAACATGTCAACAAAATGTAATCAGGTGTGCAAATGACAAAGTCACTGTGAGACAGACAAATTGAGCTATTTCATTTTTTAAAGTGTCCCTTTTCTGCACGACACTGACACTTTTAATTTCAGGCTGAAACAATTAATTGTGATTAATCGATAAATAAAAGAACCGTGAACTAATTTTGCAATCAGTTCATTTAAAAAACAACACATTTAGAGCGGTAATTAAACCAAAACTGTATTTAAAAAATACATATTTTGTGTTTAATATGAAAAACAAACTGTGACTGTGAATATAATTTATCCAAAGCTTCTCAAGTGGAAATTTGTTCAAATTCACTAAAAGAATGCCATGTTGTGGCCTTTTTTATGCGGTTTAAAAATATAAACACTCAAAAGCTCATTAACACTTTTTAATGACTATCTTTCTGTTTAATGTTTCATATACTTTATTTTTATCTTCTTTTAATTTTCAGTTCAGCAACTGAAGATGCCATTCTGCTAAATAAAAAATAATTATTTTCTGTTTATTCAGTCGGTATTTAATTCAACTAACAAAGTAATCTTACATTATTTTTTTTATTATAAAAAATGTTTGCCTGACATTTAGATGATTAACTGCCTTGATAAAAGCGAAAACTCAAGTTTTTGAGAAAATTGCTGCTTATCAATTAATCACTAAGTCAGTCCATTAACTCATTAACAGAGGCAGCCAAAGATTTTAGTCAAGTAAAGGTGGAAAGTAAAAAGTACATTATTATTTAACATTTAAAAATTTGCCATTAAATGGACCAAAATATAAAGTTAAGTGGAAACTTTGGTATTTTATGCATGAAAATTCACTTAAGTAGCAAAAAAATAACAATCAGGCAAAATATTGTTTTTACCAAATCAGTTTCTTTCAAAGAAAAATGTATAAAGCTTTAATGAAATTTCAGGTTTGTGTTTGTCGCTGTTGAATTTTTGGTTAACACATGTTTGTTTTTCATTCAGTGGATAGAAAATCCAGAAATTTTAGTTGTAATACTTCATAATGAAACTACTCAAGTATTAAAAATACTCCTAAGTAATTTTTTTCCAAAACGCTCATTAATTGATCTTTTGAGTCACTTTAGTCTAAAAGCTGATCAGTTTGACCCTCATCTTTATCTGTGACCAGCGCCGGGTTTTTTCTCAACCAGTAGCCGAGTAAACGGGTCAGACGGAATCAGAGTAAGACTCAGAAAGAACAGCTTTTCATTCAGTCATTCAGTCTCACATATGAGGCGTGAAAGTGTAAAACAAGCAGCCAAATTGCCAAAAAATGACTCTACTGAAGCGGGAATGGCATCATTCACTCAAATGGAGAGAGTATGACTTTTTCACTGGCAGTGAAAGTCATCATCAGGCAATTTCTCTTCACTCCAGACCAAGTTTAATTATCTTTTAAAGAGGTCTGTCGTAACTATTACATTATGCAGCGGAAAGATGTTGCATTCCCAGGAGCAGCATCGCAGAAACGACTGTCTGATCAACTTCAAATGCAAAAAGTGAAATAAACAAAAACAATGGAGGCTGGGAGGAATTTAAAAATCCTTGTTTATTGTGAGACAAAATTATTGCTTCATTGTGGCCCACCCATCACATCTCAGAGTTTAATCCCACACATTTATTCCAGGCTTCTTGTTTTTCTCCTCCCCAACACTTATTCTGCCAGACGCAGAGCATTCCTCTCCCTGTTTAAACAGCCTCCTGAATTCCTGTCTTGGTGAAGTACTCCCATTCCCACTATTGCTTCCTTTCTTCGTTTTTCAACTCAGCTTCTTTTGCATGCAAAAAAAAACCTATTTAAAATGGCAACATTTTTAGCTAACAATCAATTAATCAATAACTGGAGTAGTCTTAGAAGGAGAGCATTTGGGCTCCTTCATTCATTAAAGCTATGTATGTTTACAGGTCAGTAATGTGAAGATGGTGAAAACTGCTAACCCCTAAAGTGTAAAGCGACAAGTTACTGATTTCGCTTAGACGTTCAAAAAAAAGAGCGATTTCTGTCATAATCGCAGTTAGCGAGATGTTAGCTTTTTTTAATGTAAGTCTGTGAGATTTAAACTTATTGTTGAAGTGTTTTGATTTGATTTAATGCTGTTCACTGAAGAGGATGTTTTAGTACAACAGAAAGACACTTGGACGTGATTGCACAAAGAAATGCTCATTTTATGATTTCATGATTTCGAGAATTTGTAATAAAGAGAGTTTGGGGAAGAAGATGGCAGCTGCTCCTTCAGTCATTGAAGCTATTATTCATGTTTAGAGGTTTTCCACTCAGAAGAAAGGAGAAATGTCACGATAGAGATAATTTGTTGCAACTGTTTTGATCCATTTGAGACATGAAACATAAACAAAATCAGATTATAGGAAGACAATGAGCCATTTCTCCAGCTCACGCTGGACTTGCAGGTTTGGTTTGGTTAAATTTACCCAGAATCCCCTGCGCTTTAGTCCACTTCCTGGTCTCCAGTCCACTTGGAGTTCACATTAGGTATTCACACCGCACCAGAGTTCACTTTAATTGAGGCTGAGGTGTTTGGACAGACCACAGTTCATCAGAGTTTGAATTCATATTTTAATAGCCTAATTTCCTGCACTTGGTCTCAAAGTCCCACAGCATCATACTGCCTCCGCTGAACCATGTTTGGCTTTTTCAGGGTTTGGCATTTTTCTTGCTCCATTTAAGTTAATTTCTAACAATGTTGTCACAACAAATGAAAGAAATAAACTTACAAAAACTTAATTTTGTTGTACATTTATTTTTGTTGTACATTTATTTATTTTAACAACTTTTGAAAAAAAATCAAGAAAAATGATTGATATGTTGCTGAATGGAGGAGCTATTTGATCTTCCTCAGCCTAAATTCCCACTTTCACTATTTTTTTGTTTTTTTTTCTATGGAAAGCTGGATTTGGGAAAACCCTCTCCTCCCTCCTCTTCCTCACCAAGCCTTCACATCCGGGTTAGTGGCATTGGTTTGAGCTTCATGCTGCGTTCAAGAGTCAAACTGTAAACTTGTACTTTTGAAGTTTTAAAGTTGTAATCGTGTCTTTTTGAGCTTTTAATTATATAAAAAGTATCTAATATGTTAGAATATACCCTGAAGTTGTCGTGTTTTATAAAATACCGTGATAACAAACGCATTAATATTCCAGGTTTGTGGAAATTCACGGACTATTGATGCATGGTTTCACAGTAGTTTCATTTTAAGTGTGAAATAAATAATTTTCCAGCAATAATTTTTCCTCAAATGTTGTAAAATCGTCGTAGTTTCTCTTCTGGACTGGCTTAATTCCCAGACATGTCGTTAGTTTGATGATGGCCGTATCTCCGAGCTTTCAGGCTCGCAGTGAACGCATCACAAGTTGAGCAGCTCAGTTATCCAAAACGCAGACTGATGATCCAGCTGCTGAACGCTGACATGGATACAACTGCGCCTTTCCACTGAAACGGGACGCATTCCAGCGTCAACTGTGACACCGTGGGGACGCAAACGGCGACGGGGAAAAAACTTTTCCTTTCCTCCAACGACTGGACCCATGTAAACTCGCCATGTCCAAGACTCTGAGGAAGAGGAAGAACCACTGGACCAACAAAGTCCACGAGAGTATCCTTTGCAGGAATGAGGAGGGGGAGCTGGGGCTGGAGCTGAAGGGCGGCGCGGAGCGCGGACAGTTCCCGGTCATCGGCGAGCTTCTCCCGGGCAGAGCCGCGTGCCACAGCGGGAAACTCGTCCAGGAGGACCTGCTGCTGGAAGTCAACGACACCCCGGTGGCTGGACTCACCACCAGGGATGTCCACGCTGTGGTCAAACACAGCAAAGACCCCGTGCGCCTCAAGTGTGTCAAACAAGGTAAGGCTTTTAATGACTATTTTCCGGCTTTCGCTGCAACTTTGGGGTGACAGCGCTTCTATTGTTCCCCACAACCTGTGAACTCCTGCAGACTTTGTTCTTTTTGCATCGTTTCCCACGCGCAGCTCGCTGCTTTTCAATGTTTGTTGTCGTGTTTTCTTTTTTTTTTTGAGGTGGTTTTTCTTTAAGGGGGTGTGTTACAACTGTAGCAAGCAGAAACCCCAGATCACTGACGCGCACATAAATCAGAGAAGAATGTAAATAAAAAATAACCAGCGTCACACACTAGAAGACGTGTTTATAGTAATAAGACGATCAGAATACAACCAGGATTGTTTTGCTTTATTTTGTACTTAAAGGTGTAAAATTGGCATCTTTGTTTTTATTTATAAGTTTGTGTTTCTGTACATTTTGTGGCATTGTTTTGTAAATTTTACCATTGCAAATATTCCATGTTTTTTCCTTCAAAATGTCATATTTTATTGTATACATGCATAAAATATATACTATTATAGTGATCACATTATAAATGAGGAACAGAAGTAATTATTCCTTTGTCATTCTGGCGCCCCCTTTAGGGTGTCGCCCATATGCGTCGCATATATTGCAATTTTTGTGTCACTGATATTGACTTAAAAAGATGATTGCAGTATTAGAAATTGGTCAGGAACGCACACATATTAGTTTATTATTAATGTTGGTTTTTTTCACATTGTACACATAAATTTACATAAACATTTTTTCATAAAATCAGAGCAAACATTAGAGTTACTAAGTTTGGTCAAACTCTCCAGTTTTAGTTTCATCCAATCATAAAAAGCTACAAACTGTAATCAAACCTTTTCTGGGTTTTGTGCAGTTATGGCTTCTTCCTCTCTGAATGGCATTTCAATTCATGTCTTCCAAGTCAATGACATCATTATTTAAAGGTACAGTAATGTTAGTGTGTGGAAACTTCAGGTTTTAAAGAACGTTTCTTGCAGAAAAATGTCTAGTCTGATTTAATGTCAGTGAAGAAAAACAGGGTTATTTCTCTCTTTTAAAAAACTAAAACAAATTATTATTATTATTATTATTGTTTATTTTTGCCTGCAATAATTAGAATTTTAGATTTAAATTTGCGTTATTCTTCTCTCAGCAGGAATAACACAAATCCAGTTTGTGGTGCACCGGCTGCGATAAATTGGAGGAAATCTATTTGTCTCTTTTCCAACATGCTGCAGAAAATAAAAAGCGCGATAAAGTCACAGAAATCTCCATGAGTTCAACACAGATTAGTTTGTGTTTGTTGTTGTCTGGGAAGGGGGGGGGGAATACTCGGCGAGTTTTCTGGTTGTCCAGACTCTGTTGCTAAAAAAAAAAAGAAAAGTGTAGGTTGAGTAAATTTTGCTGGGCTGGCATTATCTGGTGTCCTGTCACAGACGCTTCCCCATCCTTTGATCTCAGCTGCTGATCAGACTTGCTTTGTGCGCCGGTGCCAGGAGGATCTCTGGGATCTCATTTTGAGGTGAAAAATCTTTCAAAGCGCAATAAGAGGCTTTGGATCAAAGTGTCAGGTTGTGTGTGTGTGTTTGCATGTGCTTAGCATCACAACAGAGATTTATTCAAAAAGCATCCAAAGCTTATATGAAATTGATGGGTTTTTTGTCCATGAAATGGTTACATGTTCCTGGAGAAGTGAGTGATCGTCTCCTCCATCTCTGCTCTTGTTTGCTCGTTAGGCTGTTTATCGACTTCAATTTTCTAAAAGGAGAAAAATCAACAATCATAAAGCTGCTTGCAGATGTGGATGTTTTTTCTCATCCAAGCTGAGATTCAATGATTTATTTAATCTATCTTAAGGTTTCTCTGACGCTCAGCTGCATTACTCTGTAATTGCAGCTTAAATGCTTATTTGATTTGGCTTTTCTTACGCATTAGCCCGATTAACTACATAACAAAACATTAAACTAATCAAGTTTCTGTCACATTTCAAATAAAAGTAGGTTTTAATGACCTGTTGATGGTTTAATAAAATTTTACATGAGTAAAACATAATCTATTTTATTTGAAATGATAAATTAAAGTAGTGTTCGTACTGTTGCAAAACATTTCTAATGCAAAAACATAACAGGAAAGTGTAATAGTGTTAGGCCCTCACACATGTTTCGCCCATCTAGCGTAGCGCAATTTGAAGCGTTTGATGCATGAAGCGCGTCCGACAAATAGTCAACAAATGGACAACAATGGCAAGAGCAATTTTGGGCCTCCACATAGACTTTGCATGTAAATCAGACACTTTGTAGAGTGAAATGTCAAGCGTCTGACTTCAAAGTGCTCACTGGTTCTTGAAGTGCAGAACACGTTGGCCGTGAACGCACCACGATGTGCAGCAACACATGATGTCGCGCTTTTCATCCATCCAACTTTGTCTTCAGTCGTCTGCGCGTCGGTTCGTCCTGCAAAGTCAGCGAGGCGCTGCTGAGTCAGCGGAGCGTCCTGCTGCGCGTCGGGGCGAAGGAGCAGCAGGACGCAGACGACCGACTTTGCTTCTGACGAATGAGTGCGGGATAATGTTCTGCTTCTTCTTTTAATTCTGCATGACTTGGTATAAGTGGGATTTTTTTTGTCACTATTTGCTGTGAATAAAGCTAAGGAAGCCTGGAAGTTGCTGGACATCACTGCAATAAGTCGACATCGACTAGAAGTCGACTTTAAAAATATAAAGTTGTGCAATTCCTATAACACATTTGTTTCTTTTGCCATTTTTTCCCCTTTTTGAAGCATTTAAGGAGTTTGGAACCAAAACTAAAAACGCCAATATCTGCATTATTTAATAATAATTGACACGACCATAGAAATATTCCTGCACTCCAATTTGCTTAAAAATCAACATTTAAATTATGAATAGAGACTCAGGAATTGGTTTTCTTGCCACTTTTGAACCTCCTGTCAAGGAACTAATCACTGACCAGCTTCCAAACGTGGTTGATTTCCAAAGTATCTGCGTGGCCTTTCTGAATAATACATCAAGCTCTGCTTCCAGTGGTTTGCTGCTTTAACACCATATTAAAAGCTGCTGCTTTCTTTCTCTCTGAATATCTTGCCCAGAGTGCCGACTTTAATTTGTCTTCCCCGCAATTAAAAATGCAAGTCGTATTCCTGCTCTGAAGCATAAATATAAGCGGAGTGTTTTTAAATTCTTGGTCATTATTAGCTTACATTGTTTGCATGAGGTTGGGTTGTTTGTTGCTCTTTGGAGTGATCATTAGATTAGTTTGCAATTAAGACACAATTAGGATCTCTGCAAAGACAATAAATAACATTTAGAGCTAAGCATCGAGAATACCGTCATGGATGTTGCGGATTTGATGTCATTAAAGAATAATGATGCACATTTTCTCAGTGTTTCGCCTTGAGTTTGTAGCAATGGCACAGAGAAACTGTCACATCCAGTCGGCCCAACTTGATTGGAAGAAATCATCCAACACATTACTTTTAAGAGGAAACTAATAAGCTGAAGGAAAACCTGAAGGCATCATTAAATTAAATAAATCTGATGAGCTAATGCAGTTTAGAGGTAAACTCCATTCACTTGAGTAAATCGATTAATCATGATTATTAGCAAGTTTTCTAAACTTGCTAATAAATAAAAATATACACTTTTTAAAATTGTGTGTGGATATATAGAAGCATATGAAGAAATAAAGATAATATTAAAATAATAATAAAAATATAAATAAAAAATAATAAAACTAAATTTGATACAAATAAATGGACAAAAACTTCTGACCAGAATTGCAGATTTTTTTTATTTTTAATATTTTAGATGTTTGCAGTACATTTCATTAGCTGCTGGTATCTTTTTGTTTTTTTTAATCAAACAAGCTCCAATTAATCAAAATTTCCAAAAAAAAGTATTCATAATTGGCATAAATTGAAAATTAAACCTCATTTGCATTAATATTTGTAGCACCACCAATATATAAACCAATAATGTCCCTGCATATGTTGCACTAACCAATCAAAACAGCAGCAAACAAGGCCACAGGTGGTTGTATTTTTTAAGCATAACAAATCTCTCTTCACTCAGTCTTATCCTGCAGAAAAGCATCTAGTCAAATATAAAGATAACTTAGTTTTATTCTTGGTCTCCTTCTTTGACGTCTGCAGAGTTTATATTGCGGCTCCAGTCGGGCGTTAGGCTCTACTTCCTGCTGCTGCTCTCCGCTGTGCGGCTGAAACCCGCGCTCTGATCGAGGCGTCGCGCTAAGTGCTGCTCGGGTGCAGCAGGTAAGAGAAACGTTTCCAGGTTGGCCCAAGGCAATCGCTGTGCTTGCTGGGTGCCCACTCAGAGTTTGGCTGCAGCCGGCAGAAAGTCATTACAGCAGGCTGAGCGGCGGGAGCCGGCTACAGCAGCACCTCTTGAGTTTTAAAAGGCTGGTTCCAGCTACCTGCGGGACGCTGGTGACAGCTTTCCTGCTTGGTTTGTAAGTGGAGCACTTAGGTTGTCAGTGAAATGTCTTAGGAGAGAAATATTGCCATGAAAGCAGATTACAGGCGGCGATGTTGAGCAATTGTTTTGTGGGACTTCTGCTACGCAAATGTGAAACAATGGATTTTTAAAATATAATAGAAGCAATTCCAGACATAAACTTGTTTCATTAAGATTTTTCAACCATTGTCAAGTTCTGTGCAGCTTCCCTGTTCCTTTTGAATGCCACCCCACAGCGTGATCCTGCCACCACCGTGTTTTATCATTATGTGTTTAGTGCAATGGTGTTCAACTCATTTTCATTTTGGCTGATGCTTATATTCCCAGGATCTTAAAGTTTTTCAAGTTGTTATTGAAAAACACAGGAGATAATGAACATCTTCCAAGGTAGCTCTGTGACAGTAATCAATAAATCAATTTAATTGCATGATAAATTAATTAAAACATTTGGATGTTTTGGCATAATAATGCAAGAACACATTTTCAAAGATTGATCAATTTTGAATCCTAACGAAGGTTAATTACT